GTTGAGGGGGGGAAGAGGACGTGTGGCGGCAGCAGACAGTGGGTTGCAAGGGCGGACGGGTCAGCAACGGCGGCTTGCGAAGATGGGACACCGAGAGCTTCAGAAATTTGCGCGCTGGCGTGCCGCTTGGCGCGCGGGACCATGCTGCTTGTCGCGCGCAGCGCCTCCCTTGCCGGCTCGGGCGCCCGCTGCATTGGAGCCAAGGGCTGCTGTTTCAGGGCTAGGGGGAAGCATGGAAACGCACCTGATGTTGGTTGAGGCCACGAAAAGTGCAAAGGGGTCCTCCTTCTCCGGGTCGAGCAGCCCCCGCTGCGCCATCTTCTTGATCTGGTTCATTCGCTTCTTCCGGTGGCTGGGGGCGACAGGAGGGGCAGGGTTTGGGGGGAGAGGGTGGGTGCGTCGTCGCAGTGATGAATTGGGCGGCAGGCTGCGTTCTTCAGCGGGCACGTGAATGGACGATTGGTGCGCACAGGGCAACGGGGCAGCAGCAGCGGCAGCGGCAGCGGCAGCGGCAGCAGCTGCAGCAGCAGCAGCAGCAGCAGCAGCAGCAGCAGCAGCAGCAGCAGCAGCAGCAGCAGCAGCAGCAGCAGCAGCAGCAGCAGAAGAAGAATAAGGAGCAGCAGCAGAAGACTAATAAGGAGCAGCAGCACTGGCTGCAATCACAGCGTCATCACAATTGTTCCCTGCGCTCCACCAGGCACCAGCAGCCCGCAACGCCTGAACAGCCCCTCGCCGCAGCGCCCTTCAACATTTCGACACCAACACCACCATCATGACCGGTTCCCCCTCCGCCGCCGCTGTGGCCTCTGCCGCGAGCCTCCGGCCTCGGCGCCCCTTGAAGCCCCCGCCTTCCCAGCCGCGCGGCGTGCACGGCGTCAAGGCGTGCCCGCCCACCTGCTGAGGTAGAGGTCCTTTTTGTAGCACCAGAGGACAGAGGGCCTCGCCTTGACGGCCGCCTTGGACAGCATGTAGTGCAGGTTGACGACCTGATGCGGTCATGCAGGCGTGCGCCATCGTAGAAATAGCTGGGTGTAGACTAATAATCAGGTCGGGTGGTTTGTTTCAGAGCCTGGGGCCCCAGGGAGGTGGCTGGCAGCCAGCAGGGGGCAGGGCGGGTGTAGCTGGTCGTGACGCCGCCCGGGACTGCGCGGCCTGTGGCAGCGGCTGCGGCGGGCTTGGGGGGCGGCCGTGCCGGGGTGGCCGGTGCGCAGGACGGGTGCAGGCCAGCTCACCTGGTCACGGCCCTTGTCGCCGATGATGACAAACAGCCCCCGCTGCCGCAGCTGCACGCAGTTCTCCACCAGCGTGCGGATACGGGAGTCCACCTTCTTCCGCATCTTGGTGGCGGGCGTGCGCTGCGGGCGCGCGTCTGGCCTGGGGAAAGAGGCGGCGGCGGCAGCAGGTGCGTCGGTGCGGCGGCCGCCCAGTGCCACGGCGCCAGAGGCCGCCTCACGAGGTAAAAACTAGAGTATGTGGGCTACCCGTGCTGCGCTTGTCGTCGCTGTTGCTGTGATAAGTATCGCTAAAGCTCAAAGTTGAGATGAAAAAAGTTGCTGGGTGCACTCACCGCAGGCCTGGTTCAAGATCAATCCGCTTCTCACGTACCAATTGAGTTTGCGAAAGGAACACGACAGACGTGGGCGTGCTGCCGCGTGCGATCTATATACTAAGTTCAGATGGCGCAGACTGCCCTGAAAGATGGCCAAAAGAGCCAAACTTTGATCCCGATAGCCGCGTATTTCCTAGCTGCGGGTCCTCGGCCCCATTGCAGCGCCACCTGGTGACACAGTGACGTCAGTAGTCGCTCCCTCCCTCGTCCTTCACTCCCGCCCTTGTGCTGCGCTTTGTAAACTGCATCCAGCATACATCCTGGATCAGCTGCCTGTGTTTGTGCCCCCCAAGACCTAGCCCCAGCAGCCGCACTGAATGTTGCGTGGGCCGTCTCAGCCGCGCAACAGTCAGTTGCAACTGCTGTAGGTGTTGTGCAACAGTGTTTGAGCTGGTGTTTAAGTGGCCCCTGCTGCTGTAGCCCGACGACATGTGCACATTGTCATGCAATGTGAAGTTCAAGTGCTGTAAGACAAGGTGCAGCTGGCTGCCGGCCACCGCACCTAGGGTTCAGGCGGACCAATCCCAGGGCACCAGTGAGGGTGGACGTGACAGGCAAAGCCGTGGGCGCCCCCAGCTCGCGACCGGCTGGTGTGCTTACATGCACGGCCCCTTCATAGGAATCGCTGCAAAACTTGTCAGCAGCCTTGTGCCCCAGCCTTTGGCTGCAAGCGATAAACAGCCCAACGATTACAGCGGGGCAAGAACGCTGCAAAGCACCAGCCAGCAAGAAGTGAGGGATATCTTGAGAAAGTCCCAATTATTGAGCAGCACCCGGCTCCAAGTTGCGCCGGGCGAAGTGCCAAGACTGTGAGAAAACAGGGCCCTATTTGACAGGGCAAGTAATATGATGCTTTGATGCGGGGTTGGCCCCAACATCACTGGCGGCACCTGAAGGGGTATGGGTTGAGTAGGTGGTGCGGCGTCCATCCTGCCCTGGCTCGCCGTGAGGCGGCGACGACCCCAAGCCAATCAACACAGGGCTGTTGGCGTGGGCAGTGCGCGGGGACGTGTGGGTGGGTTGGTGGCCGCCCTCACAGGAGGGGGCGCCCACCAAAAGAGGGATGAAATTGGTGATCAGTGCTCTGGTGCCGCTCACCCGGTCACCCACTGCCAACCTGGGGCGGCCGGGGCGACCTGTTAGCCATTTCAGTTCAGATTACGTAAGGTGCCTGTAAGGATGACGGCGCCCCAGCAGACTGCTCGCTTGCAGCGGCACCAAAAGTTGGAGCCCTGGCAGCCTGCGGCCGCGCCACTCGCCTTGCTGCCCGGCCGCACCTGCCCCAAACAGCGCCGTCAGCGCAGCCGCGGCGCCCAGCGCGAACACCGTCACCGCGGCGAGGGCGCCGCCGCCGCCCCCGGCCGCAGCGTGCGCAATCTGCCATCACTCGCCGCCGGCCGGCGCCTGCGCGGGCCACTCAGCCGTGGTGGCGGAGAGGTCGAGCTGGCCCCTGGCGATGGGGACGTCCACAGTGAGGCCACTAATCTGGGCGCGCCACGTGCCCAGGCGCGCCACCAGCGCCCCGTCCTCCGGCCGAGGGAGCGTGAAGTCTGCGGTCCGCAGCGGCAGCACGACCGCCTGCGACTCCCCCGGCGCGAGCGCGCGCGTGCGCGTGAAGGCGCGCAGGCTGCGCAGCGGGTAGCCGCCGGTGCCCTGGGGAGCGTGCGGGGGCGCGGGATGGGGCAGGGGGCGTCATCCGTCAGCTTTGCTTTCCACCGAGGGCTGGGCTCCCTTCAAATGAAAATCATCAACGCTGCGTCGTAAAGCTGCAAGCAGCATGCAAGCGCTGCGATGCGGCGAATGCCGTGGCATGTATTGCGCAGCAGGCAGGCCGTCAGCCTCGACGCCGAGCGTGACTCACCGCCTTTTCGGCGTGGGAGACGTACAAGAGCACGACCTCCTCGCCCGCCATTGCACCGGTGTTGCGCACGGTGACGCTGACGCAGTAGGCAGCGTGGTCGTAGCCTGCGCACTTGCCGCCCGCGTCCGTAGTTGGCGCGACGCTCATGGCAGAGTAGCTGCGGGCGGGCGCGGCGGGGGCGTGGGGTTGGGACGATGAGCGAGGCGTGTGTGGCTCGGGGTTGGTGGTGTGGACGTAGGGGCGGGCAGGTGATGAGGACGGGGCCTGCCCGCTGGTCGGGGCGACGGAGCATCGGTGCAACTGGCTGTCAGTTTCTCACCCACCCACCAAAACCTTGTTTGGTGCGCAACCAGACGTGTCACCCATCAGACCTGCAGACCGCGATGACTTCACATACCCACCCACTCAACAACAAGGTCGAGCGCGCAACACCCCGCACCTAAAGGTGGCGTAGGAGAGGCCGTGGCCAAAGGGGTAGAGCACATACTTGGGGTCCTCCACAAAGCGGTAGGTGCGGCCAGGGTACCCCTTGGCGGCGTCGGGCCGCATGCCAAACTCCTCCATGGGCGCCGCCGCGATGAAGGCCTCGCGGTACCAGGTGTTGGGCAGGCGGCCGCTGGGGGAGGCGCGGCCGAACAGCAGGTCCGACACGGCGCGGCCGCCCTCCTGCGGTTGCGGTCGCGCGGGGCGAGCGCCGGGCGACCAGGGAGTGGGGAGGCCGGTAGGGGCGCGGCGGACGTGCAGAGAGAGGGGAGCGCGGCCCCGCCGGGGCCAGCGCGCCGCAGGTGGCTGCAACGAATCTGTGGCAACGCACGGCCGCGGCTCGCACAATAGCAACCGCGCAAATCACATGGATGCTGTCCAGAACCCCGTGCAGGGGCCTCATGCTGCGGCACGCGCGCGCCCAACCCTCTCCCCCCCACCCAACAGCAGCGCCGCGCACCTGCCCAGGGAAGCCGGCCGCCATGATGGCCGCCACGCTGGGGCTGCCCTGCGCCCACGACAGGTCTACCGGGCCGCCGTTCATCACCACCAGCGCAATGGGCGTCGCGGGGCTGCGGCGCGCGAGCGCTTTGACCAGGTCAAGCTGGCGGCCGGGCAGGCCGAGGCCCTCTCGGTCAAAGCCCTCGCCCTCTGAGACGGGGCGGTATGAGAGGCGGCTGTCCTTCTGGGCGGGAGTGAGGGGCGTGCTGATGATGGAGGCGCCCAGGAACACCAGCGCCGCGTCGGCGCCGTCGCAGGACTGGGGGAGATGTTTGTGCGGGTGAGGTAAGGATCAAAAAAAGCAGGGTTTCGGCGTTAGGAGTGGAGGGGCGGATGCCATGCGATCAGCGGCGCACGAGTGCTAGGCGGGGCGCGTGACCGAGGCAAGACGCCTGCTGGGGGCAGCACGTTCGTCGAGCGGCGGGGCTATGCTGGCGAGAAGGGGGGCCTGCGCGCGCACCTGCAGGGCGCTCTCCAGGGGCCAGTCGTAGTAGTTCCAGGCCATGGTGCGCATGGTGTTGTCCGTAGTCACAGCCACGGTCGCGCCGGCTGCGTTGATGCGCGTGCATGCGAGCGTACGCTGGGGCCACGAGAGCAGCAGGCGGTCCAATTCCAAAGCAGGCAGGGCACAAGGGCAACCCACTGAAAAGCGGGTGGCGCAGCACAGTGCGGGGCACAGCGCGTGCGCCTTGAAGAGAATGTGGGCGGCCAGCCAGCCCATGCTCACCGAGCTCCGCCTTGATGGCGGCCAGAGGGGTGCTGGCGCCCTTGTCCCACGCGCCATAGTAGTTGCCCATCTGGTGGGCGCGGCCAGGCAGAGGGAGCGCAACCATGGGCTCCACAAAGCCGTCGGGGTGCCCCGGGGTGGTTGCAACAACAATTTGCAGAAATCAGCACTGCAAGCGCCTGCCACGCACCGGCGCCCAGAATCAGAGCGCGGAAACATGTAAAGTGAGCCGGGCGCCGTCGCCTGGCGGGCCGTGGGGCCCGTACAGCGCGCCAGAGCGGGGCCATTGCATGCTGCCACCCACCATGTGCTCAGCGCTGTCAGCCAGGGGCCCCACGACGCAGACTTTCTTGAGCTTGTCCTTTGCCAGCGGCAGCATCCTGCTGGTGGCGTTGAGGGCCGGCTCGTTCTTCAGCAGGACGATGCCTGCGCGGGGAGGGCAGCAGGGAGGGCGATCGGGTCAGCAAGACGGCGCAACCTGCTACCAGCGGCTACAAGGGTGCGTTCGAAAAACATGACTGACAGCCAGCTCGTTGAAAGGGCCAACTTGCTCGCGTCAGATACAGTCATCCAGTGCCTGCTGGTAAGCAGCTCGACCAGCTCTGCCAACACCATAAGTCGCGTTTGCGTTGCAGATTTCGCCCGTCGCGCCCGACGATCTGCCGGCTCGTCAGCCCTCAGCCCATGCATGCGCAGCGCTCCATGTGTGCCGCGCACCCTTCCGCGCGACGCTGCGCGCCAGCTCCTTGTGGCCTGCCGAGTTGACCTTGTCCAGTTCAGCGCCCGCCCATGGCATGGAAGACGGTGGGTCAAACTGGCCGGTCCTGATGCGGACGCCCATGGTGTGGTTGAGGGCCGAATCGATGTCTGCCTCTGTCAGGAGGCCCTGAGACAGCGCCTGGGACGCGGCCTGCGCAGGGGCGTGGGGAGACAATACCTCATTTATGCAAAATTGCCAAGGTAGATGGCGGCAGATGATGGCGTAGGCTGCACACCTGGGCAGTGAGAAATGTTGAAAGCAGAGGCAAGCTCCTGCAAGCACAGCAGAGCCAGACGTGTAGCCGCGCATTTCGCGCCAAGCACCGCGGCCTCGCGCCCGCGGCCCACCTTTTGGGAGTCCATGTTGTCGCAGAGCAGGTCCGTGCCCGCCTTGATCGCCTGCGCGATGGCCGCCGGCTCGTCGCGCGCCGTCTTGTGGCCCCACACCAGCCCCTGCACCGCGTTGCAGTCCGACACCACGTAACCGTCGAATCCCCACTTGTCCCGCAGCAGGCCCTGGAGCTTCGGCTTGTTGGCGCACATGGGCACGCCATCGACCGCGTTGTACGCGCACATGACGCCCTGGGTGCGGGCCGCGCGGATGCAGGCGTCGAAGGCCGGCAGGTAGGTGTCGGCCGCATCCTGGTTGGGTGGGGAGGGGACAGCCGAGCGCAAGGGGGGATGAGATTGGATTAGAGGTATGGTTGTGGGCGGCTGAAAGGCCATGATCATTTGAGGGTGTTGACTGGAGCTCTGACGGCCATCAGCTTGAGGGTGGTGTGATGCTGATCGCGGGTCAGGTGGCGAGAATGTTGACAAAACAACATAGTGGCTGATGCCGGCAGCATGGAGGGTACCTGGCTGACTAGATGCCCAGGGTGCGCTCGGTGTGCATGACTCACCACGGGGTCGATGCGCGCGTTGAATGAGTAGCGGCTCTGGCCGTCTGCCATCTCAAACGAGTAGCCGTAAAAGTGCTTGCAGGTGGCAGCAACCTGGGGCATGCCGGCGGTGGGGTTAAGCGAGCAGTGCATGCCATTCAACAGCGGAAGCATCATGTGCAGCTGAGATAGGTACGCATCACACCCGACGCCACCCGTCTCATCAGCTCCGCCACGTAGGTCTACCAAGCACACATCATTGCTTCCCTCCAAGACCTAACTGGCCTCGCCTCGCCGCCCGCCTGACCTCATCACAACGCCGTCGCGTCGGCCACGCCCCTCGCCTGTGCCGCCCGCGCCAGCAAGCGCGCGCATGCGTGGGCGCGCACACACACACGCACACACACGCACACACACGCACACACACACACACACACATGTGCGCACCCACCTTGACATAATTGGGGTCCTCCCCCTGCAGGCCCCTGACGACGTGCGCCGCCATCACCGACGACAGGTGGGGGTCCTCGCCCCAGGTCTCGCTGCCGCGGCCCCACCGCGGGTCCCGCAGGATGTTCATGTGGGGGGTCCAGCAGGTCAGCGCCCTGCAGGCGGAGTCGAGCAAGGGGGGGACGCAACAGCAGGGGTTTGATGAAGGCACCAGCCCAGCGAATGACCCAAGGGGCAGCATACAAAGCCGGACTCAGTTTAGGACATTTGCGGCGCTTGCACGGTCCGCAACTGCTGTTGCAAGCTGCATCGTGCTGGTTGCCAACACACCTGCACGCATGTGTTCGCACTCACGCACACAAGCACAAGCACCCAGGCCTGCCCTGATGTGCGCCTTTGCCCCACCTACTGACGCCCTTGCTCTTGACTTCGAAATTGTTTTTCGCCCGCATCTCAGTGCTGACCGCATCGAACACGCGTTTGACCAGCAGCCGGTCAAACGTCGACGCCATGACCAGCGGCTGAGGGAAAATTGTCGGCGGCTGCTTGGTGTAGGGGTTGGTCTCCCAGAGCCCGTGCAGGCACTCTGTGGGGGTCATGAAGAGGGGGTTGGGTGCAAAAACGTGCATTTGTGCAAAGGCTTGATCAAAGCTTTGTGTTCTCGCGCTGGCAACCTGTGCGGGCACGGCGCGGGGACTGTAACACAACTGCAGGCGGCAACTGCATGTCGACGCTTGCGCGTGCTGAGGTGCCCCTGCCACTGCCACCGGCTGTTGCGGAATGCATCATGGGGCTGGCGCCCTGCTGTAGGGCTCTCGCGCAACGAGCTGCCTCCCTCACCAGTCAGGAAATCAAATGCCTTGAGGCCCAGCCGCGGCACCGCCTGCTGCTTGTTGCTAAGGAGGGTCAGCTTCTCCTGCAATGTCAGCTTCTCAACCAGGTCGGCGGCACGCTCTGCTGCCGGCACCGCTGCATCCTTCCACTTGGGGGTTGATGCCGCCGCCGCGGCGACCACGGTGTCTGGCGTGCGGGCATTGATCGGCAGGAAGCCGGGCGACAGCGCGCGGGCTCCCCGTGGCGCCTCTGCCTCCGCGGCGCCGGCGTCCGCAACATCGGCCAGGGCGCTTCGAGACAGCAGGGCTGCGATCAGAGACGTTGTATTACTCGAATCAGCGGGCTGGGGACGAGGGCGAGCTGCTGCTAAGTGGCTGTTGCTTGACCGAGATAGCGATCGCTGCGCTCGCAGTGCCTCTCACCTGTGACTACCACAAGCGCCATCCACATCGCTAACGCGCCGCGTTGCAGCCGCTGACTGTCCATAGCACCCAGCATGCGCCGCGGGGTGCAATCCCTCGCACCGCCGTGGCACACTACGCTCTCAGACCGACAAAATTAATGAGACGACACTTTACTTATGAATCCGTGGGGGCCTTTGCAGATAAGATCATTATCACTGTGTGCTTTGCCCGGTGTGTGCGCGGTTGTACGGCGCCCGCCAACGCTTTGCCTTGCACATGTAGAAGAAAATTGAATCCTATATTAGTTTTTACTGGGCTCCACGGGCTGGAGACAGTTCAGTGCTAATGCTGCTGCTCGCTGCTGCTGCTGCCGAGTGACATCAGCAGGTGCGGGTGACCCATGAAGATGTTTTGCGGATGCTTGTGCAAGTATCAACCCTGCTGAAACTGTGTTCATAGGTCTCTATGGGGAAGTGGTGAAGATTGGATGAGGCACAGCAGCATCACCCTGTTCATTCTCCTCGGCCCCCAAACACCTGACGGGACCCGCAGGACCTGTCATAACCAGGCCGAAAGCATTGTTGCAGGGTTCTCCAGCCCAATGCTGCCCGCATATCTGTACGACTAATCTATAAAGCAATGTTCATGCTAGAGCGATGCATGCACAGGAATCCTATGGAGAATTCAGAGTCCTGCAACGGCCTAGATTATTTGACTTTTGGTGGTGGTCAGCAGCAGCAGCAGCAGCAGCAGCAGCAGCAGCAGCAGCAGCAGCAGCAGCAGCAGCAGCAGCAGCAGCAGCAGCAGCAGCAGCAGCAGCAGCAGCAGCAGCAGCAGCAGCACATATGTCCTTTGAAACAATTGAAACTCATTAGCAGCGACCCTTGCTGAAACGGCCTGGGAACGAGCAACTCAAATGACATGGTACCCTGAAGCACTGACGAATGCATTGTGACTTGCCTGTCGCAGTCTGTGACTGTGTGCATTTTTCCCCTGCCTGTTCACGACGTTGACTTCGTGACTGTTGCGCACTGCTCTTTCTTCTCCCATCTTGCAAACCCGAGCATGTGACCTGCCTGTTCAAATCACCCCTGTGTCCTGCTCCTCAAACCAATCCAGAAGGCAGCTGCAATGGCTGCTTGAGAGTGCAAAATTTCAGCGCTGGACCCCAGAGCATGAATCTGATTGATTAATCGCCGCCTGTTCTCAACCTGTGAAAGTCTCAACCCTCACGCTGACCCGTGCTCACACGCAACTGGGGTTACACAAGGTGCGCACAGGCTTCAACTGTCTGTCAGCTCGCAGGGGCCGGCGCCGCCTCTGCGACAGGTGGCTGCGGCTGCTGCGCGTCCTGCTGCTGCTGCTGCTGCTTCTGCTTCTGCTGCTGCTGCGCCTGCACCTGCCCCTCCAGCTCCTCCAGCAGCTTCACCCCAGCGGGCGCCAGCTTCCCGCCGCCCGCCACAAACCCTCTCCCGGTGGCGGCCGCGTCCGCGGCGCGCCCACGCGCCGCCAGGCTGCGCATCACCTGCAGCACCATGTGCTTTGACGGCCGCCGCAGGTGAGTACGCGCCAACAGCCACGCGCTTTCAAACTCGTCCGCGTCGTTGCCGCAGGCTGCCAGGGCAGCCTCGGAGAGGTTGGCGGAGATGGGCAGGGCCAGGGCGTTCGCGTTCTGCAGCAGCTGAATGTAGAAGCTGCCAGGCGCCTGCATGCGCTTGGCCGCCTGTGGAGGCATTGAGCGGGGCGTTGCAGGTCTGGGAGGGGCAGCGTCTAGAGTGTGCGACGAGCACAATACGGAGCTCTGGAAAGAGCGGTGTCTGGTGTGCATGCGAAAAGTGACCCGTGCATCAAGGCAGTCAAGGGGCGAATCAGCTGCAGCAGCGCCCGCAACCTCAGCTGAGGCCGCCCGTCTCTGTGGCCTGGCGCGGGGGCCATCTTCCTCCAAGGACGGCATCGCAGCGCAGAGACGGCGGCACCGCAGCACCCCACCTGCAGCAGTGCATTAGGCATGGAGCTGCTGTATGGATCGTAGTGCTTGAAACGCGTCGCGCGCACGCGGTTGAGGTGCACCAGCCGCGTTGCATCTGCAAGCTCGTCCACAGTCGACGCTTTGTGCACGAGCAACACCAGCTTCGCCTCGGCTGCGGGAGCAAATGGCGGCAGAACGTTACGTGGGTCGCGGCAAGGTAGGTCACGGACGCATGCTTGCATGCATGCGTGTGTGCGGGTGTGCGTCAGGCGCAAGGCCCTTACGGTGCCGCGCCCCGCATGTGCCCGTGAACTGGTTTCACCACCGGCGATCAAACGCCGGCCACCAAGGGCAAACGAGACGACTGCTGATTGCTGACTGCCCGGCGGCAGCGACAAGAATGTCTGCCTCTCACCGAGGGAATTTGTGATAGTCATGGACTTGACCAAATCCCGCAGCTCGGCAAACCCCATGGCTTCCAATTTAGCGGGGACGATTGCCTGCCGCTGGTGGTGGTGCTGCTGCTGAGCTTTAGTGTTGCCCGTTCCACTGCTGCTGGTGGAGGCGCTGTTGTTTACACCGCGCCTGTCAGCTTTGGCCGAGGCGACGGGCGCTGCGGCCGCTGCGAAGCCCCTGGCTAGCACACCGCTGCTGGCTGGCAGCACCAGCACATTAGCACTGCTGCTGCAGCAGCACGCCGACGCCGTGTGCTCCGCTGCGGCAACAGCTGTCCAAGCCTTACTTCTACTCAGAAGCAATGCCACTAGTTTCATGGGGCTTTCCATGGCAGCAAGGAGCATGATAATAATAGATCTGCAGATCGTGGAAATAGAGCTTGCCTCGTAGAAGGAGTTCAAATCACGTTACCTGAGCTTTCATACAGGTTCAAAGTCTGCTTCAAAACTGCATCCGAACAGCGCGGGCGATACTACGGTACCGACCGGGCCCACAGCAAAGTGCGAGGTTGTAGGCACGCCCATTCAAGCCGGGGATCGTACTGTAGGTTTTCAAGTATATAAAACATTTGCTGAGCGTGTGTCCAGCATCAGCCATGCGTCGCCAGGTCCTCAAGCTCGTCCCCCGCCTCTGCCAGGCTCAGGCCTTGGCCGCGCGCGGGGGCGCTGTGCAGCTCAGGAGCTTCGCAGATGTTGCCGATGCGGACTTGAAGAAGACGACTCTCTATGACTTCCACGTCGCGCACGGCGGTGCGGCCCTGCTCGCGCCGCGCGCTTTGCGCCGCCCAACCCCCCACGTCCACCCAGTGGGAAAGTGCCGTGCCCATGTCAACTCCACAATCGGCCCCACCCTAACGGCAGAGCCTAAACACGCCGCATATGCTTGCCCAACCCCCTCTGCGCCGCGCGCAGCCAAAATGGTGCCGTTTGCCGGCTACTCGATGCCCATCCAGTACAAGGACTCCATCATGGAATCAACCACCTGGTGCCGCGCCCACGCGTCGGTGTTCGACGTGTCCCACATGTGCGGCCTCACCCTCAAGGTGCGCCCGTCACCGCGCCCGCCTCGCCCCGCCGGCAGGACAGGCGCCCTTTACGGCGGG